ACACACACACACACACACACACACACACACACACAGATGCTAAGTTTCCAAAAAGCAGATTTAGGGCAACATGAAGAAGCAGCAAGAGGAATAAGGATACAAATAGTTTCGTGATCACTCAGTGGATGACGGTGTCTGCAGCTACATTACTCAGATGTTTACTGACTAGTTTGATAGTGAATTTCTTCCGACCTGGGTGTGTGTCCCTCTTAAATTAAATCTGCTCATAAACAGTTTTAGATATAGACTCTAAGAATCAGAATCTCTAAAAGACCACCTGTCAAGACAATTATTTACAAGATTAAAGTCCCCACCAAAAACAATGTGAGAATTGGGAAATTTAGTTAACCAGTGAAGCACTCGCTCCCCTAACCTGTCAATGAAACCATTATTTTCAGGTTAGGAACTGAAGCCATAAACATTTACAACAATTTGCAATATCAAGCACTAATAGAAAATAATGACCAACTCTGCCACATTCAGAGATCAGGATTTTTCCATTAAAAGTATTTTTAAGAATGAAAACAACTGCTAAGAAATAACTCAGAGCCCGACTGCACCCTGGTTCGTCCTTTTTGGGCCTAGGCAATGCAGAGTATCCACAACGCAGCTCATCTTTGGCCTCTGGCAGAACAGCTTGATCTGTTTGAATCACTTCTGTCCTTATGTCCTCTCTGTCCTTTTCCTCTCAGCCATAGGTGAGAGAGCCATTTTGCATTTGACTCGCCGGTTTCCTGATATTTTGCAAGTGGTGTGTCAAAGTGGTCGACTCTCTCCTTCATGGTTTTAATGTCAGCACAGATAAACTCAAAAATGTTGTTGGTGTCTCCTCAACCTTTCTCCATTTGACTGTTGGGGATTCAGATGGTGTAAGAGGAAGAAGGGGAAAATCCTCTTCTGTTATAGATGCAGCAGTTGTTAGTCTGAGCCGAGGTAGTTGTGCAATGTTTCCCTTGATGGTACTCGAGGGCAGTCTTATCTGCAGTTTGCTAGTGAAGTTTGCTTGCTAGTGGAATTATCAGTTATTAGCACCTTATGAGCTTCCATGTTTCTTTTCTCAGAGCTTTTCATATTGTATTAATGTTGCAAGTCAAAAAGAGTAGAACAAAGCTAGCAAATAAGGCTCTAATTGCCCTATAACAAACAGAAATACCAGACCAGCTTATATATGACCAGCTTCTTTATATAGTATACTCATAGGTAAATGAACATGAAAGTACTGAGGAAGACTGTAGTGGGATTTACAGTGTGATGTACTGATGACCCTCACAGTGACGTTGTGAGTTGAAAAGCAGAATGTGTGACTCTGTGACTTGAGAGAGCGCAGCTGAGCACTGGTGGCACTAATGAGAGGTCATTATCACAGAGTTGTGGTTGTAAGTAGTAAAATAAATAAAACACATACAAATAAAATTTGAATTACACATTTGAAACTCTCAGTATATTTATGTAAATATCAAATCTACAAATTTTGGAATATTTTTCCTGTAACTCTAAATTTCAAACTACAAGTCAGAATGTCACGGCAGTAGCTGAACTCACACGGAGGCACAGGTTAGCAGGATTAACACAACTTTATTGCACAAACCATGAAACTGCAAGGACAATTAGACATGAACTATGAACTGAGAATTATTACGTCTGTGAGGGTAATGTAAAGCAATAACTAGAAACAAATACAATTGCATTACCAAGACAACTAGACCATGAACTATGAACAAAGATTTCCTAAGTCTGTGAGTTTGACGTGAAGCTATGATTAGAAACAAACATGATTAGACTGAAATAATTCAGTAGAAAGGCTAAAGCTCAGGGGCATGAAGGAAAGGCACGGGCTTCAGGGAATGCAACCGGGAGTCTCAATACACTGCAAATAGAGGAGAGTGGATTTAGTGGCTGAGTCCATACAATCCAGAGGAACTATAATCAAAGCAACAGGGGAGGTGGGAGGTCCGGGTGAGGCGGCTGGGTTCTGAGAGCGTGGGAATCCGTGGAATGCAATGACGGCGGCTGGAGGTCAGGCAGGTGAGGGGAGCAGATCAGAGCTGCCAAGCATAAGCCAGCGACAGCAGCAAAGGTGAGTATTGTCTGGGATGTAGCGTGGAAGTCGGCTGAGCGGCTGCAGAGAAAAAACACAAAGTGAGCTTCTTTCTATAACAATCTCTTTTTAAGCAAAAGCTGTGACAGCCAGCACTAACTGTGGTTAACAGAACACTTGGTGAACAGCAGTGGTGAGTGCTCATCTTAAATGCTGGCAGCTCAATTTCCTGCAGGTGTGGAGACACACCTACACCAACAAAATAAAAGCCTATACCAACCAAACCATAATCATAATAAAATAACAAACTGAACGTAAGTTACCATAAGTACCATTTAAAAAAGTGAAGTGAAAAATACTCCTTCAACCTTAATTACCTGAAGCTCTAACATCTAATTAAACAAACATTTATAGCTCTAAAACACTTTAAATCTTTACTAGAAAGTTAAGCCTGCCAGGTGAGCAGGCAGGCAGCATGGACACCCAAGTTTGTGAATGCGAAAGCCAGAGAATGAGGTGACGTAGGATTTTGAAATTCATACCAAAGTGAGACAGGTAAGTGAGGAAAGCTATGCTGTAGCAATGCCAGCCACAGCATTGATACAGCATAGGGGCCACCACTGAGTGGTGTTGCACTGGGTGCGGTCGACACGGGTCCCAGGTCCGTGCGCTGGGGAGTGGCAAGTGCGCGCATACACAGCAAAATTGTGTATTTGTTTGTGTACCTCCCTCTGTTTTGTCTTTTTGGTGCTGTATATCATCCGAGTCTGCTTTGTTACAGAGGCAGGAGTTAGAGACCCGGTGTGTCCGTTTGACTTTTTACCCCCCTTTTCTTATCTTTTATCTAGCTTGTACCCCCTCTCCACTCCAGCAGAACAGCCACGAGACTCCACTATGGTGCTCCGCTTGGGAAAGCAAATATGTTTGGCACAACAAAACATTCAGACCATAATTCTGTTTGCTGGACAGGTCAGGTTTAAAAAAAAAAAAGAAACAATAATTCATACCATTTGGATCGATGAATTAATCCATTAAAAATACACAGGAGCAGGCACTGATGTGTGGAAGCCGCCATGTTCCCCTGCACTTTTGAATACAGTGGGCACGATGAACACCACTGTTTTAGCTAATCACATTTTATGTATGTGGCTCACATGCACACATTTTATGCGACGACTGCATACATATTAGGAGGATCAGCCGGACGCTGATGGTATGTATGTTGTTCCCATTGCACAGAATTTGTGGATGTTTTATCTGCTTAATCTAACTTGGTTGTCCACTTAGAGGCCTTTTGCTGTGGCATCACCTGTTGCTGCTGGGTCGGGAAGGGCTCCTTTCTAGGGGTGCAACGAAATGGATGAACACAAAATTCACGGTTCGGTTCGATACTTTGGTGTCACGGTTTGATATTTTTTCGATACAAAAAAAATGTTCATGCTTTTTTAATTTGTCATTTATTAAAATTATAAATATATATTTTAACTCAAACGTACAGTTTTTAAATGTAATGTTGCTGAAACAAAAAAGTTATAAAAACAATAAATCTATCTGATCGAGAAATCACTCATCTTTGGAAAAGAGAGTTTATTACAGAGAAATGTCTCTTTCCAAAATAAAACCTACACTATACGCTTCTTCTGGGCTATATTCTCAGCAGCATATTAGACATATCAGGTCCCCGTAGTGATGAATGAAGCTTTCTGAAACATTGAAGCTTGTCTTGAAAAACGGTTCATGACTCCAAGCTTTTCAACACAAGTCCTCTCTGGTGACATCTGGTGGCCAAAAATATGAAGAGCAGCTTGAATCCACAAAATAAAACCAACTGCTGAGTAACGATTGCCCACTCTACAGAGTGGAATTCTGTCTAATATTGGGCCACCGTTGTGTTGCTTTAAACGTGTATTTTTTGGGGTGACAAAAATGTTGTTTATTTCTTTAATAAATAATTGTGACCAGTATACTCTCCTTGTTTAAACATGCACCATGGCGTGGTCTTTCTTTGCTTGTGACGTCTTGATGTTGGT